AGACCCCACCCCCGCCTACGCCAGGCTCCACCCCAGCCCCGGACCCTCATCACTAGCATGGACTGCTGCACCGTAAGTTAGAGGGCCTGGGGGACCCGCATCGGCTTGGTCTGGAACATGGGGCGCCCGCGAAGCCCCTAAGCAATTGAGGGATGGAAGCGGGTGGAAAGAGCTACGGGCCGTAAGGAATCTTGCTGAGGTGGATGACGATGGTGGCAGGTACCTACCTGACTGGAAAGCCCTAGAGAAAATGCTGCCTGAACCCTGGGGCTCTCCGCCGGGCTGTCTAGGTTGGACCCGGAGCTGGGCAGGGCTTTACCGCAGGGACGCTGCAGGTTAGACGAGAGGAAGGACTTGTCCCAGTGAGACCCTGGAAATCGTTGCCTCACAGAGTTGCAGCTACTCCTTTCCCCTGGCACTTGGCCCCCACCCCATTTCCTGTCCCACAGCTGCCGCCGCCGTCGGTGAGCAGACAGGCTGATCTCCACGACCCTCTGGCGAGGGCGATCGTCTAAGCCCTATACAGCGCAGGCGGGAGTGAGCGATTCATTTTGGTCTTAGTAGTGGTGATGGGCAGCAAGGAGCTTAGTCGGTGTGGTTTGGGGGAAGGGTTGGCTCGGCCCCCAACGCCTCCTGGCTCCGGAGGGGGCTGGGTGAAGTGACCGCGAGAGATCCCTACTGGCGAGGGAAGGAAGCGTCTGCAGTTTGTCAGCGCCCACTCGGATCCTGGATGCTGCCAGTGCCTGGCCAAAGTATACTAGATTGCTGCTAAGGTGACTCGGTATCAAAGCGCCTGTCACGGGACTGGCACCTGGCTCTCAGGGATCATGAGTATATAAAATGTGTTTATTTTTAGCCCCCACGTACAGAGAAAGACTATTTCAAAGTCCTCCTGTTTTCTCAGTCATTCAGTCAACCCAGCTAAAGATACAAGAGGTTATACCTCCACCCTAAAGTGCGCAAAAGACATAAGGGAAACAAACAGTATAGTTTGGAAGCGAAGGATTGCCCGGTTCTGTAAGAAGTGAGCTTTCTTGATGTCTGGGTACCAAGAGGCAGAGGGAATTTAAGAGCAAGTCATTGTTGTGTTTTTAACTCTTATCCATCATGAGCAATACCTGCTCACCATGAACCTCACACTTTATATTTAATCATCACAACAACTCTGTGAAGTAGGTATTTCACAGATGTGCAAACTGAGGTTTAGAGAAATTAAATGATTCTTCCCCAGAGGCATTACTCCTAAGTGTGGAGGCAGGATTCAAGCATAGCCCTGTGTGATTCAAACAGCTGTACTTTAACCTTTTTTCCAAATATATTGAGTTTTTTCCTCATTATAAAATATGCTCATGGGCTGGGGATTTAGCTCAGTGGTTCTGCCATCTGCTTAGCAAGTGCAAAGTCCAGAGTTCGGTCCTCCATACCAAAAAAAGAAAAAAAAGCTCATAACAGTGAATGTAAAGACTAGAAAAAGCATTTAAAAATATTGACCACATATGATTCCACTCCCTGGAAAATACTCTGATAATATATCTATTTCCAGTTTTTTCCCCCTTGCTTGTTATTCTCCAGGAAGCAATCTTCTAAATTTATTTATTTTATTTGTGCTGGGGATTTAACCCAGGACCTAGTGCACACTAGCTACATGCTCTCCCAAGGAGCTATGTGTCCCCAGCCCAGGAAACAATTTTTGGTTATGAAAAGAGAAATGGGGATTTCTGGGCTCCAGTAAGGAAGAGCCCCACACTCCCAGAAGTGTCTTTTAAAGAAAATAGATGGTGGATTCTGAGTTATGGATCAGGGGTGAGGTGGTGATGTTGAGCAGAAAGATTAAGGTGAGCAGATAAGAATGATGGGGAAGGGGAAGCAGGAGACGCGGCCATTGGAAAGCGATGAGTAAGCAAAGAAGCCAAGAAGCCAAAGAAGGAATCTAACCTGTCTCCTGTGGTGCCTGCAGGAGTAATGAAGGTAGAATGTGGGTGCCCTATCTGCCAGCCCTGGCCTGCCCTATATGGTGTTGGAGAGTGGCTAGAAAGACACTGGTACAGGTCAGACAGATAGATAAATGGGTAGCAGATGATGGGTGTTGACAGCTGAGGGACTTGTAGAGATGGTTGGATCCAGTGTCCCTTAAAAAGGAGAGATTACCCATCCAAAAAGTATGGAGGAGGCAATTACACAATTTGCCCAGTGGCCTAGGGCCATGGGCATCTCCTCCAATGCACCTGTACACCGGAGCTTTCCTTTTTCATGATCTAGGGCTACAGGCCCAAAGAGCTGAGCAAAAGAGAGCACCATCTCAGACTATGCAGAAGGGAGCAGAAAGAGCGAGAAGGGGTAATAAGGGTAAGGCTGGGTCCAGACTTTGTCCTGTCCATTCTGTGCAGGGCTGGGCTAAGGGCTGGTAGGGAGCTGGGACACAGAGAGAATAGCATGCTGCTGTCTCTTTCATTCTGGGGTTCTTTTGGATGACCACCTGGTGTTTGGGGAAAATCTAGTCCTGCCTTATTCCCTTCTTTCCCCTTGCTGAGAAAGCTTAGACAGAAATGGCGAAGAAAATGGATCTGCTTTCTAAGACTGTTTTGTTGGTAGTGCTGGTGGTGGTAGTGCTTGCTTTTTGTTTTTGTTTGTTTGTTTGTTTGTTTTTGCAGTGCTAGAGATCAAACCCAGGGTTTATGCATGCCAGGTAAGCATTCTACCACTGAGCTACAACCCCAGGCTAAGGTTGTTTTTTAGTAAGAGCTGTTGGTGCACAAGTTTGGTTGCTGTTTTACACAGCCACAATATGACTTTGCTACATTGATTTAATATGAAAAGACCAAGAAACTTTTTTTTAGTCCTCTTTTTTTTACTTGGTCTAGTTGACTTGGTTTAGCTGAATGCATAGAGGCAGTCTGTTCAAACTTGGGGAAGTTATAAAATGACTCTCAGGTTATTTCTTGTCTTCTAAAATGGGATTAAACAAGGTAAAGTGTGCAAGGTGCTTAATAAAGAGCCTAACACAAAATGGGCAGTGGGTGGCCTTAAAGTTGTTAGACTTTGTGAGCTAAAAGTGACTCTACTCACATGTGCCTAGATGGGAGTAAAGCTATGGCTCCTGCTTTCCAGATCAGTGTGCTTTCCACATCCCCTCTCCTCCCAGATGTCCCCCAATTCATGCAGAGCTCTCAGGTACACCTATCGGCCTTGGCATTGGAAGGGACCAGCCAGGCTCCATGACAAAGGAGCCCCTTTCTGGATTCCTTTTACTCACTTTCAGCTCAGCCTGTAGACAGGCCACCTAGCAGCTCTGTCCTCAGGATCCAGCTAGAGGGAGAGGGAGCTGATTTGAGGGGAAGAACAGTGGGTTGAGAGTATCTTTGCCTGTTGTCCCAGGTTTCCATTCTGGATACAGCTGGGGTGGATGATGACAGCAGGTGAGGGCTTAGCACAGTTGGGAGAAGACACCCCTTCCTTAGCTTGGCCTCCCCACACCTCCACAGCTGCAAGCCTAGCAAGAGCAGGGAGCAAGGATAGTAATAAAAGACAGATGCCGGTAGCCTCTTTAGATGCTTTCATCACACAGCACACTTCTCCTAACTACCGCCCGTCAGTTGCCACTCCCTGTACCTGCACAGATCCGAGGAGCGTGACTTTCTTCTCCTGTAAGGTGATTCGCTGGTCAGCCTCTGCTGCGGCTAGCATCCATGTCTCTGGGGGTGCCTTCTGGGCTGGTGCCCTCCGATGTCCTGGAGCAGAGTCTTGGCTGTTACCTAATGCAAGATCACATATGCGGCCAGTGGCCACCAAGTCTCTGGGTCACCGAGTGCAACGAGCTGGTCTTCTGCGTGCTCTCCTTTATACTAAATTCTATGGCTGTGTGGCACTGATTCAGGCTCATCTATCTTTTACACATCAGGCAGGGGTTACAGATGGTCAAGGGTATTGCATTACTTCACACAAGAGGGTCTTACAAGTGCTTATCATATCAGGGAGCAACTCCTACACACATACTTACACCCACTCTGCACAGGCTCTGCACGGGCTCTCCCCACTTAGCAGTCTTGTTCAGTCATGGCCTCTGTCACGGCCTCAGGCTCAGTGAGAGCTTCAGTGACAGCTTTAGTGACAGCCTCAGTGCTTGTTGTCATTGGAAGGGATGTAAATAATATAACGAGTTTTGCAATAACTGTTTGCTCTCCACAAAGTCCAAGGAAAGAGGTGAGGCAGGAGAAAAAATTTTTCTTTTATAGTTGTTACCCTCTTTTGAGAGACCTCACTCTTCTCTGAGCCTATCTCAAGAAATCCTTAGACTCTGATGGGACCAGAGATTTACTTCTGCTTCCGCTGCCTGCTTCCCAAGTGTAAGGTCCGGAGTTCAATCCCCGGTACCAAAAATAAAGTCTTAGGCTCTGAGAACCAAAGAATGTAAGGGAGTTGGTCAGGTTTTAGGTGAAGAAAAAGATGTCAGGGAGCCCTCTAGACCTGGGAAGAGCAAAAAGAGTGTTTGGGTCCATTCCCACCCACAGCAGCCGCTTGGTAAGTCCCTGTGACTGTGTCTGAATTGATTGTGGGTATCTCAAGAACAGACTGAAAAAGTGGGAAGCCTAGGAAATGAGGGCAGCCTAAAGAAGCATGGGGAGGGGAGTATTTGTAAACCTGGCTCACACATCTGGATTTAAACCTGTGCTCCTGGGGCAAATCTGGATGGGAAGAGGATCACTAAAGCTGCACGTGGTGATGCATGCTTATAATCCCAGCACTTGGGAGGCTGAGGCAGGAGGATTGCAGTGAGTTTGAGGCCAGCTTGAACTACATAGTGAGACACTGTCAGGGAGAAAAAAAAAAGCAAAAGAAAGAGGAACACTAAAGGTTCTCTTAAACCCTGTCCAATTCTGACAACTGGACAGCTGATGGCCAGGAGAAGGCAAAGAGTAGAACTGAATCACCAGACTTTAGTCATCTTATATTGAAGAAAAAAGCCAGTGAAAGCAATGGACATCCTCAGCCCAGAATTGAGGGCACGTAGGCTTGGGGGCTGAAGCCTGTAATCTCAGCTACCTGGAGTGCTGAGGTAGGAAGATCAAAATGTCAAGGCCAGCCTGGGCAATTTAGGGAAATTTTGTCTACAAATAAAAAATAAAAAAAGAAGCCAAGTGTGGTAGTGCACACCTGTAGTCCCAGCACTTGAGAGGGTGAGGCAGGAGGATCACCATGACTGAGGCCAACCTGGGTTACACAGTGAGTTCAAGTCTAACCTGGATTACACAGTAAGCCCCTGTCTCAAAAAACAAATAAACAAAAATAGTTAGGGGTGTAGCTCAGTGGGAAGGTATTAGGTTCATACTCAATACCATGGAAGGAAGGAATGTAGGGAGGAAAAAAGGAAGGAGAAAAAGAAAAGAAGGAAATAAAAGCAAATTCCTGGAGGCCAAAGACCCAAGACCAAAGGAATGATGCCCATATAACTTCATAATAACCACCCATACATACATAACCCAATCCACACTGATATTATAAGTAATGTTAAACTACAAAGAAGGTCAGGAGCTGAGACCCTCTATTCCGGAGCCTGGCCTCTGAAATCAATACCATCAATTGCCTAACCCATTCTACTATCAGCTGGGGCAGGCTGCCAGATACATACACGAATGGATCTGATCATGGTCACACATTCCTTAATGATGAGGATATGTTCTTAGACATGTGTCCTTAGGCTGAGTGTGGTAATACATTTCTGTAATCCCAGCACTCAGGAGGCTGAGGCAGGAGAATATCTGCAAGTTCAAAGCTAGCCTGGGCTACATAGTGAGTTCAAGATCAACATGGACACAGCAAGACTGTCTCTCCAAAAACTATTGTCTGTCTGGGGATTTAGCTCAGTGGTTCTGCCACCTGCCTTGCAAGCACAAGGGCCCAAGTTTGATCCCTGGTACAAAAAAAAAAAAAAAAAAAAAAAAAAAA